CTAGAACTGAACTAGACTGAACTAGAAACTGAACTAGAACTGAACTAGAACTGAACTAGAACTGAACTAGAACTGAACTAGAACTGAACTAGAACTGAACTAGAACTGAACTAGAACTGAACTACTGAACAGAACTGAACTAGAACTGAACGAGAACTGAACTAGAACTGAACTAGAACTGAACTATAACTGAACTAGAACTGAACTATCGAACTGAACTAGAATGACTAGAACTGAACTAGAACTGAACTAGAACTGAACTAGAACTGAACTAAAACTGAACTAGAACTGAACTAGAACTGAACTAGAACTGAACTAGAAACTGAACTAGAACTGAACTAGAACTGAATAGAACTGAACTAGAACTGAACTAGAACTGAACTAGAACTGAATCTAGAAACTGAACTAGAACTGAACTAGAACTGAACTAGAACCGTGAACTAGAACTGAACTAGAACTGAACTAGAACTTGAACTAGAACTGAACTAGAACTGAACTAGAACTGAACTAGAACTGAACTAGAACTGAACTAGAACTGACTAGAACTCGAACTAGACTGAACTAGAACTGAACTAGAACTGAACCTAGAACTAGAAGCTGAACTAGAAGTGAACTAGAACTGAACTAGAACTGAACTAGAACTGATGAACTAGAACTGAACTAGAACTGAACTAGAACTGAACTAGAACTGAACTAGAACTGAACTAGAACTGAACTAGAACTGAACTAGAACTGAACTAGAACTGAACTAGAACTGAACTAGAACTGAACTAGAACTGAACTAGAACTAGAACTGAACTACAACTGAACTAGAACTACAACTGAACTAGAACTACAACTGAACTAGAACTGCAACTGAACTAGAACTACAACTGAACTAGAACTACAACTGAACTAGAACTGAACTAGACTGAACTAGAACTGAACTAGAACTGAACTAGAACTGAACTAGAACTGAACTAGAACTGAACTAGAACTGAACTAGAACTGAACTAGAACTGAACTAGAACTGAACTAGAACTGAACTAGAACTGAACTAGAACTGAACTAGAACTGAACTAGAACTGAACTAGAACTGAACTAGAACTGAACTAGAACTGAACTAGAACTGAACTAGAACTGAACTAGAACTGAACTAGAACTGAACTAGAACTGAACTAGAAATGAACTAGAACTGAGTTAGAACTAAACTAGAACTGAACTAGAAATAAACTGCTTAGAATAATAAAACTAATTAATGAACATTTTGTTTTTTCCCATAAGTGTTAAACAAAAAACCAAAAAATAACTCGCTAATTGATATCTTTTCTAATTTTTTTCAAATACTTGAAATCTACTTTAAATGAGAACCCAAATAAATCAAAATATTTTCCATGATAATTGAAAATACTTATTCCATCCACTTCCCCTATAAATAAAACACTTTCGTTTTATAGAGTAGTTTTCAATTTATAACAAAAGTTCATTAAACTTTGAAAAAGTTTTTTTATTTCTTATTTTAGATTTTTTACAGATTTTTTATTTATTTTCATTATTATTCATATTTTGTAATACAATATTATACAGCTCATTGTTATTTTATGAAATCATTAGTTTTATTTTATTATATATTTTTGTTTGTGTTTTTTTTGGGGTTCTTATTTTTTTTATTATTAATAAATTATTCCCATTTAATATTAATTGTGCATTATTTCAGTTTTCGTTTCATATTTCTTAATGAAAAGTGTTTTTTTTTTTATATTTATTTTTTTCGTATTCGCCATGTAGAAGTCATTTTGTTGGTGTTTTTTCTCCATTTCACTAATGTGTTCATTTTTCGAACATTTTGTAACGGTCATTGACACTGACACAGTTCCGTATTTCGTTGGAAAATTTTCTTTGGTATGAAAAGTAACAGCAGCAGAAGAAAAAAGCTTTTAATATAATTTTCAGTTCATTGCTACTGTGCCATTCTATAGGATTTTCCACCACCATGTTTTTCTTAATTTTTTTCTTAGAATTGTGATTTGGGTGGGAGTTGTTGTGGCTGATGACAGACATATTTTAATGATTTGGAGTGTAATCGATATGTATGCACAAAACTAAGATGAAAGTAAAAAAAGTTTTTATTATGTATTTGCCTTACTAGAACCTTAAAGCCTTTGGATGTGATTAAGGAAGATATTGCTGGCGCTGTTACTATAGTTCAAAAAAGTAACCTCATTATTTTTCAAAGCGTTTACCTAATACATTCTCAGTTCAGTTCTAGTTCAGTTCTAGTTCAGTTCTAGTTCAGTTCTAGTTCAGTTCTAGTTCAGTTCTAGTTCAGTTCTAGTTCAGTTCTAGTTCAGTTCTAGTTCAGTTCAGTTCTAGTTCAGTTCTAGTTCAGTTCTAGTTCAGTTCTAGTTCAGTTCTAGTTCAGTTCTAGTTCAGTTCTAGTTCAGTTCTAGTTCAGTTCTAGTTCAGTTCTAGTTCAGTTCTAGTTCAGTTCTAGTTCAGTTCTAGTTCAGTTCTAGTTCAGTTCTAGTTCAGTTCTAGTTCAGTTCTAGTTCAGTTCTAGTTCAGTTCTAGTTCAGTTCTAGTTCAGTTCTAGTTCAGTTCTAGTTCAGTTCTAGTTCAGTTCTAGTTCAGTTCTAGTTCAGTTCTAGTTCAGTTCTAGTTCAGTTCTAGTTCTAGTTCAGTTCTAGTTCAGTTCTAGTTCAGTTCTAGTTCAGTTCTAGTACAGTTCTAGTTCTATTTTAGTTCCAGTTCAATTCTAGTTTAGTTCTAGTTTTGTTCAAATTCAGTTCTAGTTCAGTTCTAGTACAGTTCTAGTTCTAATTTAGTTCCAGTTCAATTCTAGTTTTGTTCTAATTCAGTTCTAGTTCAGTTCTAATTCAGTTTTAATTTAGTTCTAGCTGAATTCTTGTTCATCTCTAATTTAGATCTTGTTCAGTTATAAGTTTTCTTCATTTGTAATTGCGTTTTAATATAAAATCTGCAAAACATTTAAAAATTCAAATTACAAATATAAAATAACAACTCTAAGTCAATATGCTAAATCACCCTGTTGTTAAAACTAAAGAATCACGAGTCAGCCTATGTTATTACAGCAATCAGCTGTTTTGACAGCTGTGGGAGGCATTTTTTTTTATTTTGTTTTCATTGTGCAGTGTTGTGGGTGCAGTATTTGTTTCTGTTTAGTGATGTTGCGAAAAATTAATTTAATTAATAAATAAAAGTTAAGAGTTTAAAAAAGACATGAAAACCAAAAATAAACGCATTTACAAATATGCTGCCGTCATAGGAGGTATATTTCTACTCGATTTCCTGGGTGTTTTCACACACCTTTTCGAATTGCAATATGATAAATACTTCCACTATCCTATGGAGGGAGATGTTTTAAAATATGCCCAAGCTATGCGGAATAAGCGAACACACCTAGAAGACGGTGAAATTGTGCCAAAGCCTATAAATTTTTATAATTATACATATTTACATCAACGACGTTGTGATTTGGTCAAGGCGGAGAAACCACAACTGACATTACTGATAAAATCAGCATTGCCCAATGCAAAGAGACGCGATGCCATTAGACGTACCTGGGGTTATGAACAACGTTTTTCCGATGTTCATGTAAGAAGAGTATTTCTGTTGGGTGCCAGTACAAGCAGTTCCTTGATGGATATTGCAGACTCGGAGGCTCGACAGTATGGCGATATAGTACAATCAGATTTTATAGATGCTTATTTTAATAATACCATTAAGACTATGATGGGTCTCAAGTGGGTGGTGGAACACTGCCAAAAGGCCCAATACTATATGTTTGTCGATGACGACTATTATGTATCAATGAAGAATGTTTTACGTTTCATAGCCCACCCTACTCTCTATCCAGAGAATGCTGTTTCCCTTAATAGCATGTGGGAGCATAAGGCGAAAGTTCAACATGAAAGACTTTTTGGAGGATTTGTGTTTCAGACACGACCATTACGTCACAAATTTAGTAAATGGCATGTTACTCTCAAAGAGTATCCTTTTAATAAGTGGCCTCCTTATGTAACGGCGGGAGCTTTTATTTTATCCCGTGCTGCTGCCATTGATCTCTACTATGTGAGTCAATATACAAAACATTTTCGTTTCGATGATATCTATTTGGGTTTGGTGGCTCTTAAGGCCGGCATTAGTTTGACCCACTGTGGTAACTTTCATTTTCATCGTCCCCGTTTTAGCGGTCCCGATAGTTATCGTTTTGTTATAGCTTCACATGAATTTGACGATAGTGTTGAAATGGAAAGAACCTGGAATGCATGTCGTTCGGCAAATTATGCTTAATTAGTGGGAGCAGCGTTTAATAAGAGACAATATATTTAAAAAAAAAAACATAGTAATAAAAAAGAAAGTATTTTATGAATCTATCATATCACCAGAGAAGTGTAAAGTGTTTTAAGGAATTGATGCGAAGAAGTGTTTTAAAATAAATTTCAAACTAAAATAAGCGGCTATTAATATTTGTTTTCAATAAATTATAAGCACTGCTGAGAAAGAATGAATCCTATTATTAGAGGATATCATTTGCTAACTAAAGTATCCTTTTTACAATGAGGTAATGATGTCCAGCTTTAAACAGAAACGAATTTGCGAAAGTATTTAAAATAACGAAACATTAAAGGTTTCAGTTATAACTTTTTATCTCTGTTAACTTTGCTAAAAGTTAAACATAATAATTTAGAATTTTGTAATAAAAAAAGTCCAATTAAATAAAACTCAATTAGTGTAGTTTTTTTTAAGTTTTAAACTGTTCCCACGACAAAATTTTATTTCGAAATAAAGTCAATAATTTATTATTAATTCTTATTTAGCTTTCGTTTAAATTTCAATTAAAATTCAATACAATTACTTGTTAACTAAATGTAATTATTAAGTAATAATGAAAATAAGAATTATAATACCTTTCAAAAATACATAATTATAATAATTTTACAACAAAATGACTTTCAACGCTGCCAGAAAGAAGTTTTTAACAAAAAACAATTCATTCATTTATAATTAAATACACATTTTTAAGATTTATTTCAAAGAAACCGTAATATAAATTTATGAAAAAGGAATAAGTTAAGAGAAACAACCATAAATAGTGTGAAATATTTTAAGAAAAGGAAGTACTGATCAGATGATATTAAAATTATTATTCAATGATTAAAAAAATAAAAACTTGTTCATCAACGATTAAACGCAAATAATGAATAATACATATTCCTAAAATACATATGTTGCACATAAAGGGATGTATAAAAATATATAATAAATGAATTAGAATTATTGCGCTGGGGCAGGTTGGGGTGCGGGAGCTAAGCGATTGACAAAGGCAATGCCACCGCGTACTACTTTCCCCACAACGGGAGGAGAGCGAGCAGCTAGACTTTCGGCAGTCATACGTAATTCAGCAAAGGCGTTACGGGTATAGGGATTGCGGCGAGAACTGTAACGCATAACCAAGAAGTGATAGTAGACAATGGGAGTCATAAGGCCAGCTCTGCCCCTGTTATAAGAATAAAAGAAAAAACAACCATTAGTTTAAACTAAATTAAAATAAAAAGACAAAAACTTACATAAAAGTCAAGACAACAGCCAAGGGCATAATAAAGATTTCGGAGAAAGAAGCGGCTTTCAAAATATTAGCTGCCTGAAATTCCACCAAGGAGATTAAGAAACGTGCTCCCCACCAGGAGTTTTGGCCAATAATCTAAAACAAAATACACATTAACTTCTTATAAACTGTTTCTTTTCGAGAAAACACTTACATCCAACAATTTCAATGAATAACTGGAGGCATGTAATACAGCAAACAATACTATTGGCACTAGTATCAATAGTGTTGGTTGTACATTAAAGAATATCAATGAATACATGAGATAATGACATGAATCCTCAACAAACAAACGTGCTAAAAATTCACGTGAGAATGTAAAGGAGGGTAAACGTTGATGTAAACGTAATGCCGAAACGGCAGCATTTGAGAGTAAAACTTTATTGAAGGCGCTCTGTTGATTGCCAAATATGGGCAAGACATAGCCCATGGCAAAAACAATGCCCAATAAACGCAAAAACCACATGGCACCATCAACTTTGTTGGCCTTAAAGTGTTCAATCATTTTGGCGGGTACATTGGCTGATGGTTGGGGTGGTGGTGGTGTCGTTGATGAGTTTGTTGAGTTTTGTGGTTGATCTTCTGCTTCGTTACTCATTTTTTTATGTTTGTTTTGATCTGTAAGAAAATGAAGGAAATGTTAAAATTTAGTATGTTTTATAAAATTTATTATATTTTAATAATAGAGGTTTAAAGAGCTTTTATTCGAAAAAGTTTTACATTTGATATAAGTGAAAAAAGCTTTTTATGTAAAGCTTTTACTAAAAAAAGCTTTATGTGCATAAGGAACTTTTTTTATGGAAAAAAGTTTTATATTTGATGAAAGCTTTTCATACAAAGGAAGCTCTTTCGGAAAAAGATGTTTTATGATAAAAGTTTTCAGTGAAAAGCGGTTTATGAAAAAGTTGTATGGGAAAAAGGAAGAAAAGCTTTTAGATAAAAGTTGTATATTAAGAAACTTATAGTGAAAGGTATTATTGTCAATACATTTTCAAAATTCGCTATTTTTACCGGTAGAAGGATATATAATTTCCAATTCATTTAAGTGTTTTTTCTGGAACTAGTTCTTTTAAACTTTTTTGTTTAGCAATGACATTTCGAAGTAATCTGTTATCAATTAAATTTGTAATCTAATTGATATTGTATTAATATTATAATTATCATAGATAAGTGGAAAAACTTAAAATATGATAAGAAATTATATTTGTTTGTAATCAGTGTACGCGGTTTACTACTATCGCTACAACGAAAGCAATTCTGAAATTCAGTTCTGTTTGAACTAATGTCTGGTTTATAGACTTGTCTATAGTCTAGTCTATAACTTGGACTATAGTGTAGTCAACAGTCGTGTTTATAGTCAGGACTATAGTTAAGTTCTGTTCTGTTCTAAAGTAGTCTTGTCTACAGTCTAGTTTATAGTCTACTCTACAGTCGAGTCTATAGTCTGGACTTTGGAATAGTCCATTGTCTGGACTATAGTTTAATCAATAGACTGGTCTACAGTCTAGTCTATTGTATAATCTATAGGCTAGAGGCTGGACTATAGTTTATACTCTAGTCTAAAGTCTAGTCTACATTCTAGTCTATTGTTCAGTCTACACTTTGAGCTATAGTCTGGAATATAGTTTAATCTATAGTCTAATCAATAATCTGGACTATAGTTTAGTCCAGACTATATTCTACAGTCAAGTCTATTGTCTAGTCTATAGTCTGGACTATAGTCTTGTCTATAGTCTGGACTATAGTCTAGTCTATAGTCTGGACTATAGTCTAGTCTACAGTCTGGACTATAGTCTAGTCTATAGTCTGGACTATAGTCTAGTCTATAGTCTGGACTATAGTCTAGTCTATAGTCTGGACTATAGTCTAGTCTATAGTATGGACTATAGTCTAGTCTATAGTATGGACTATAGTCTAGTCTATTGTCTGGACTAGTCTAGTCAATAGTCTGGACTATAGTCTAGTCTATAGTCTGGACTATAGTCTAGTCTATAGTCTGGACTATAGTCTAATCTATAGTCTGGACTATAGTCTAGTCTATAGTCTGGACTATAGTCTAGTCTATAGTATGGACTATAGTCTAGTCTATATTCTGGACTATAGTCTAGTCTATAGTATGGACTATAGTCTAGTCTATAGTATGGACTATAGTCTAGTCTATAGTCTGGACTATAGTCTAGTCTATAGTCTGGACTATAGTCTAGTCTATAGTCTGGACTATAGTCTAGTTTATAGTCTGGACTATAGTCTAGTCTATAGTCTGGACTATAGTCTAGTCTATAGTCTGGACTATAGTCTAGTCTATAGTCTGGACTATAGTCTAGTCTATAGTCTGGACTATAGTCAAGTCTATAGTCTGGACTATAGTCTAGTCTATAGTCTGGACTATAGTTTAGTCTATAGTCTGGACTATAGTCTAGTCTATAGTCTGGACTATAGTCTAGTCTATAGTCTGGACTATAGTCTAGTCTATAGTCCAGACTATAGTTTAGTCTATAGTCTAGACTATAGTTTAGTCTATAGTCTAGACTATAGCCTAATCTATAGTCTTGTCTATAGTCTAGTCTATAGTCTGGACTATATTCTAGTCTATAATCTGGACTATATTCTAGTCTATAGTCTGGACTATATTCTAGTCTATAATCTGGACTATATTCTAGTCTATAGTCTGGACTATAATCTATTCTATAGTCTTTGCAATAGTCTAGTCTATAGACTGGACTATATTCTAGTCTATAGTCTGGACTATAATCTATTCTATAGTCTTTGCAATAGTCTAGTCTATAGACTGGGCTATAGTCTAGAGTCTGGGCTATAGTCTAGTCTATAGTCTGGGCAATAGTCTATACTCTGGAATACATTCTAGTCTATAGTCTGGACTATAACCTAGTCTATAGACTGCGCTATAATCTAGTCTATAGTCTGGACTATAGTTTAGTCTATAGTATTCTTAATTTATAATCTGGATATTGGGAGATATAAACATGAAATTTGTCCAAAGATTCACAGCTTTATTATCCGCCTAAGCAATAGCTTTGCACTTTACTAAATCACCAACACAAATAACACTTGTAAGAAGAAACAAAATAAAAAAAATTAATCAATAACTTTGGAACTGTAACGTTTATTAAAAGTTTATCAAATATTTATCATACAACCGTAACAAAACATGTATTTAATCACAAACAATAATATTTAAAACAATTTAAAAAAGTTTATAATAACAGGCCTATTATTAAGCGTAAAGTTACTCTAGAATTCCAACTACATAATTTCCAATTCAAATTTGTTAAAAGTTTTTAATGATTTAAATAATAATAATTTTTAAACACAACATACATTTATTTATATTATTACTAGTAAAGAGAGCTTCTCAATCGAGTTTCGATATTTGTCTAGAATTAAAAACACCACAACCGAACACGGCGACTTACTAATACTTAAAACTCGAAAATACAAAACGAAAATTTGTTACAAAAAAAAACAATTGTTGATATAAAAACATTAGTAAATAACTGCAGGTACCTACTCATACATAACCAAAAATTAAGGCAAATAACTGAGAAAGTACGTAGATATAAAAAAAGCAAATAATAAGTGTATGAACAGACCTTTCCGAATAACTAAATAACACACAAACCTACAGTATATGTTATCATTAGAAATTGTTTTTATCTATAAAGCGATTAAATTTAAACAAAAATTATTTTTTTTATAACATTATAAAACTCATAAAAGTGGAAGTAGAGTATAGAGAAATAAAATTTAATTTATAAAAAGCCGGTTGGAAAGAAAGGCAAAAAAAAAACAAAATTATACTATGTATGAATATTTAATGAATTTTTTTCAAAAAATAGGGTTAATTAAATATGATAATGAACTAAATATTCGATTAAATAATGGGTAGAGAACATATATAAAAATTAGACTACAGACTGGCCAATAGGCCAGACTAGAGACTAAACTATAGACTAGACTATAGACAGGTCTATAATGTAGACTACAGACCAGATTATAGACTAAACTATAGACTAGACTATTGCTTAGACTATAGACTAGAATATAGACCTGACTATAGAGTAGACTATAGACTAGACTATAAACTAGGCTATAGACAAGACTATACACTAGACTTTACACTATAGACCTAACTATTGAATAGAATATAGACTAGACTATAGACTAGACTGTAAACTAGACTAAAGACAAGACTATAGACTAGACTTTATATTATAGGCTAGACTAGAGACAAGACTATAGACTTGAGTATAGACTAGACTATATACTGGACTATAGACTAGACTATATACTAGACTAGACTATAAACTGGACTATAGTGAAGACTATTGACTAGACTACATACTTGACTATAGACAAGACTATAGACCAGAC